TGAAGGACATCTGGTGAGGAGACCGTGTTGTTTCGCTATCAGGCGCCCCAGAATCGAGTGGCACAATGTGTGCAACCTCTCGGATTGGCCCGCTGAGCATGAGAGGATCTTGAGGTATCGGCTGTGCTTCAGACATCTGGCTGCGTGGGGAGCTTCTTACGCAAATGGGATTTTGAATGATGGTAAGTTCCAAGTCGTTCGGCACGTTGTCCCGCGAAATTGAAACTCTCGCATTCACGCCTGCAAATAATCAGAATAAGCTCCACGGGTATGGAGACATACATACTGTGAGTACCATCGAGAAGTTTCTCTTCATTCTCTCGCACGTAGTATAGTTCATCAAGTAGATTTATTCGATCGGTTGGACATATCTGTCGTCGGATGATCTCATCTGCCGCTCTCAATCTGCGCGCAGTGACTCCGTGGCTGGCGCGTAATTCACAAAGAATATGAATGAGCAGCTCGATTCGTTCTAGATCGATAGTCAAGGTATGTCGGTACGCGCAGAGAGAAGGAAAGTACTCACCGGCTTTGTACAGATGATCTGGCTCTCGATGTCGCACTTCAAGCGGCCACCATGGCGGCTTAGTCTCATCAGGACTGCATTGGTATGTTATCCCTGCCAAATTCTTTCGCCCATTGTAGGGAAATTTGACCTGTTTCCGCGGCTCGACAAGCCTGACATACACTTTTGCAAGAATCCTGCAATTCGTCTGTAGCAGATTTTCGAAAACCTTTTCGTAGTACCGACGAAGAACGCTTGGGTTCCCAAGAGAGATCATAATATTCTTGGAATTTAACACGGTCTCTGCCATTTGTGGTGTAACCTCATCCTGCGAAGATACACTGGTTCTCACAGATTGATGGACTAGCTTTTCAGGCCACTGGACTGGCAATTCATGAGGTGCTGGGGCTATTTGTCTAGCGATATGAGCCTGAGTCTGTGATAGCCCCGCTGGTTGAAGGTTATAGGTTTGTTTGGGTTGGGCAGAGGTTCCGCGACTTAGCAGCCCGAGAGGCGGCGTTGCCTGTATACCTATTCCAGTTCTTCGGGTTAGTCTAACAAACAAGATGCAGTCAAGGATTTCACCAACATTGAATCTTATCTGAATTATCTTCGAATGCCGAGACCGCTTGTAGAAATCGGGTTGTGACTTCTGGTGACAGGATGCGGTCACGATTTTTAGAGATGGAAGTCGAAGTTTTATGGCGGATATTACCTGCTTGATCGATGTAAATAACTGCAAAATGAGGAAAGCCCCTCTCATCACGGTTTTGTAACGACGGGGATGCTATTAAATACTATATCAGCCCGTATTCACAAGCAAAAGCCGCTTAAGACGAATGATAGTATGGTTTTCCTTAGGAATTGAAACTCAAACCCTTGGACGAGCGCTCGCAACAGTAGTCTTACTGGCTGTCAGATTGAACAGGGAGGGAGGCTTAGAATCAATGATGATCACATCCGAAGAATTTGTAGCCAGTGACATTTGGATGGTTGATTGGACAAGCAGGGCGCTTGAATGGTGGATATTTTGTGTGAAAGGAAAAGCAGGAGATGAAGGGATTTATAGAGAGGGGCCCTTATAATTCGGCCAGTCAATAATTGGTCTAACAATTGTAGGTATCATCGAACAATCAAAGTTAGCCACGGAAGCCGACATCTGCAGCCAAGCGGATATCCTAGCTGGAACCGTTATCTGGCTTAGTGGTCATCCTAATTATGACGTATGCGACTGTCAGAATTGCTCCCCGCATACCCATGTTGAGGTTCATGCGCCGAACCATGGCCTTGGCAGACGCCCTGAGATTTGGTCTCTACCTTATAACGACGAAATTCGCCAATTATGGAAATACCATCTGAGCCTCAATATGTCTCTGTGCACTGAGCGGGCAAATGAAGTATTTTCCGGCTTAGCCGGATGACAGCTTGGAGATATTTTATGGAAATGATTCGCCGGGGACTAGAGGAAGGCAATCCTTAGAGTAATCCAAACGTTTTCAAACTCGAGTGGACTCGGAATGCGGATCACTTTAGAACAAAAGTACTGGTCCCCCAACTAAAAATGCCGTGTCATAATACCCTGTCAACGATCGGTGAACTGGTAAGGTTTCGTAAGTAGCAATGGATCATCATTAAACAGGTGTTTCTCCTTCAGTCTGCCCCTCCATCTGTTCCGTGCATACTAAAACTCAGGGGTTTGCTTCTTAGTAAGCGCTTTTTCTGTGGATCCTCTCCGAAACGGGCTCTAGTGGTAATCTAGCACTGACATTTGAAATCGCTATATTTGAAATGGACAAACTACACCACTTTCATTCGGCCATCATATCGCTTGGACTGCAGTCCTAATCGTGCATTTTCTCCTTCTCCCTGTCAACCATTTGCTGCAGAGACGGACCCCTGACTTTAAAGTTTCGGCTGAAAGTTCCGACTACTAACGACGCGCAGCGGGACATGAGCAAACAGCGCATCTTTGGAACGAGAGCAAAAATCTCATTGAGCAGGCTTCCCCTCCTTCTATTGAAATTCTCCATCACATTGGCATTTTTCCACTACAGCTGCAGTTCCGCTTTGGGTTTGGATCTACAAGTCTCAGCTCGGCAAATGCATTACAATTGGTCTGGGCTCTGGATTGGCTAAGCAGCAAATAGAAAAAAACATAAAAATAAATAAAAATAAAAATAAAGAAAGAAAGAAAAGAAAAGAAAAGAAAAGAAAAGAAAAGAAAAGAAAAGAAAAGAAAAGAAAAGAAAAGAAAAGAAAAGAAGAGAAAAGAAAAGAAAATAGAAGTCAGGTCAAAGGTAACAAAATAGAATAAAATAAAAATACATAGCAAATGTGGTGATCAATGGCCGGTCCTATTACAAAGGATGATATCAGCGTCTATGGGCAGAGCGTTACACCCAATGACTTGAAAGCTAGTTACAGGAATTGAACAGAAAAGCAAAAATTACTAGTAGGCGTAAAAGCCCGGTTCAGTCTACGGTATTGGCGGTATTGGTGTCCTGGGTGGTGAATAGCCGGGCTTCGCTGCTTGAGTCAGTGAAGTAATCACCCGTTTTACAGGCCAAGCAGAGATTCATGCAGGGCCAAGCCCCTCTTTCTTGCTTTCACTTACGAAAGTATGCCTGTTCGATAAATTTTACCCCAGACACATTCTCATGCTGAGGCTTCATTGCTGATCACAGCCTTTATTATAGTAACATGTACCAGGACTAGTTTATCAAGATAGTTGGCCACTGTTCCTTCGACATCGCAATGTAGCGCTCCAGCCGATGAAATGCTGCTAAAGTGCATGCTCTGTTCGCCGGTATCTCAGCTTCCTGGCGGCACAGACACGATGCACATAGTCCCACCTCCAGGATGACCGTGTTCTTTTAGGCCGGTACGGAAGCGGTGCTGGCGTCACGTATTCTGTGACAAAGGGTCAGCATGTAATATGAGAAGATTAAGTGTTTCGTACCTGAAATAGGGTTCGTTTGAGTTGGGTTTTTGCTGTCGTCAGGCTGGTTAGGGTCGGCCGCTAGAATTGTTTGAAAACATTTGTCGATGTTCCTTTGGGCAGGGGTCTTCGCTGGAAGACCCGACTGTGAAGCGCTATCAACCACAGAGCGTCGCACAGCGCTTGCTCGCTTTGGTTTGCCTCGATTCTGGGAAGATTTGGCGCCAGTGCGACTCTGCTTTCGCAGAATATGGTACTTTTTCCCTCGTAAAGATTCAACGCTTCGATGCACCTGATATTCTTCATAGTATGCGTCGGAGAGAGCTTTCCACGACAGCTCCCGATGGGCATCCAACCAAGGGAGAAGATTTTTCTCCTCCCATTCTGGCCAGCC